AGCACTAATAACATTAAATCAACCTCAAACTTCATGCCAAATGTGCTCTAAAAGAGGGAATAATGGGAATTTTTGTTGACTTTAGTAAAGCATCAAAAGTTACACTGGAAACACATAAAATGCTACAATGCAGAGGTCACAATTATGCTAATATCATGATAATATAAAATATTAAGTCACCAAAATGACAGGATTTACAACCAACTATCCTCAGTCCCCAGAAATCTTAGCACTAAGCTCATGGTAAACACAACAGCCAGTCCTCCCAAGGAGTCTGATTACAAATTTAAATATGTATATGATTAGAACTCTGCCAGTCTCCCAGCCCTAGAGACAGATGAAGTAAAATTTGATTTATATCATACCTGAAATCTACTGTGTTGAGTTTGCTCTGTTTTGCAGAACCACGACCAGGTCTGATGGATTCTGTGTGTTAAGCAAGTTTCTTATGGGAAAAACAGGAAATACTATTAATGATCACAAATAGCCCTGTAATATTATCAACTAAAACTTAAACATTGCTATAGAGCAGTCAAATTTTTGAAAATGGTATACTGGCGAATGGAAAGGGCAGTGTGTGTGTGTGTGGGGGGGGGGCATTTCTTTTCTTTTTTTGTTTGTTTTTAATGTCCTGGTTTTTGTGCTAAGTCCCAGGATTAGAGAGCCTTTACCCTGATCTCATGGCCTTCAATTTACCTTTAACTCTGTGGTCCTGGTCCCATGCAGGTCTCTGCTTTCATGGAGTTTGGCACATAGTAACTGCCTGTGGTCATAGTTACCAGATGAGAGAGAGCCATAGCGGCTGCGCAGCTTTCCTCAATATTCTCAGTCCTGGCCAATAACACTGACTTCTATTTAACTTCACTAATGTCATTATAGCAATAGAAGGCATAGGGAAATAAACATGCAGGGAAGGTATACTGTTATTTTAAACTAATGCTCTTTACGTCTCTGTGCGGAGGTCCCTGCTTTGGTTGATTTTGTTCTGCCCGCTCCCGGCAGCAGATGCATGTTTATCAGGCCCGCGCTTCTCCTTTGCCATGGGAAATGCATGCATGTTGCCTGAGCAATGCTCTAGCTCACTCTGTCAGGGCAACGAATAGATATGCTCAGTTACCACACACATATCTATTATTATTAAGTATAGTATATGTCATATAAATGATAATGTTATAGGTACTGTCATCACTAATTAGTCTCTGCCCGGAGAACTCGGACCAGCCTTGCCCGAAGCAGTGAGGCTCCCAGCCGGGAGAAAAGGCCCTGCTCACCCAGACGCTTCTCTAGGCCACCCCCTCACTCACCTGTCGCTGTCACATCATTAATGCTGGATTTATCGACTATGAAATAAAACAAGTTGCCCCCACAGGAATTCCTGTGCCTGGCACAGGAGAAGAGCTGTGAAGCTATGTTTTTAAAGTGCAGCTTTCAGTCCCTAGAGGTTGCAGCCAAGTCCCTTTAGGAGTTGACAGTGTCAGAGGAACACTGAAACTCACCGAGGCCTTTCCCGCGCTCAATCCCTCCGTCTTAGCAACAGCCAATCAATATCTCTTGATCTCCAATTTTGTGCAAAACTCTGCTGTGCTTAACCCTTCTGGCAATCCCCTTTGCCAGTTCCCTCCTTTTGGGGGACAAAAGGACTGTGTTCTTTCTCTTAAGAGGATAGAACTTTTGAACACATTAGTTTCTTTCATGACAAACTGGTTGGAGTTTGAGGGCTTCTATCATATATGTGTATGTATAGGAGGGAACAAACATTTCCAACATTATGGAAATTTTATTTGTTTCCAAATAAATTGATTTGTTTCCCCCCTTTCCTCAGGAGGCTTGAGCTGGCTCCCTTCCCAAACACAACCTTTTGGATAATAAATTCCTTTTGAAAAGAGGCACAAAACCCTTTTGATGTTATAACTAGTATGTGTAGTAAGAGAAAGAGCCTGTAATTGCAAAGCCTGAGAGCGGTCTATGGGAGAAAGTAGATCTGATTCTTTACTCCACTCTTAGTAGCAATTCATGAGTTTATATTAGAAACCATATTTTTAATAAACATTTTCGGCTAACTTTGCTAATCTACTTGCCTCTGACACAGCCCAGTTGATTCAGTGGTATACTAATACGCATCTGCATGTGCAGCTCAGTAAGAAGTTCAGTGAGGATTCGGTGATCTACTGCAATCATGGACCTTTAAACAGTCTACTATAAGGCAAATCATAGTCTGGGATTAGATCTGAAAAGGCAGAAGATTTTACCATTCCATGGAATACCTTAAGAACTGCCATTGCAATGAATTCATTCTTATTCTCCCTCTCCCTCCCCTAACCCTTCCCATCTTTCCTCCCTCCCTCCCTCCATCTTTCTCCTTCTCCCTCTCCACTGTCCCTATGCACATCCAATACACACCTTAAAAAAAAAATCACTTCTCAAGATGGCCTGTTATCTTCCCCAATGTGACCCTCTTTGTCCCAAGTCATGCTCTGTTTTTGGCAGGCATTTTAAAAAACTCTGAAGACATAAACCTCGCTATGTCAATGTGGCAGTTTGGCCAACACATCAGTAAATGTCACAGAGGTGTCAGCCCTTTACATCATAACTGCAGTTCATTTCTCCGCCTTGACAGTGATGCTTATACCGGGCAAGGATTAGAATGGGCATATTTCCAGATCTTAATTACATCAGGCATAAGGATGAGCAACAGCATTTTTCTTTGGGGGAGAGGAGAGGAGGAGGGAGAAGGAGAGGGGAGAGTAATGCTGAATTTGGCCATCTAGAGCCTCATGTGTCCCCGTTTATCAAGAGATAATAGGATTAAGCTAAGCTACGGGACTTTTCTGGCTAATGCTGCCTTCAGCAGGGGTCTAATAAGGATAGATATAATTGGGTAAATGGCGAATGAGAATGAAGAAGTGCAGAGTATAAGCACAATGCTTAGGAATAAATAATGACAAATTGGATTTCGTCCAATCTGTGCAGACTTGGTTAGAATCTGACATCCCACACTGAATTACAAGGGGTAACATCTATGTATCTTGCGTCTTGCCTAACTTGTCTCTGCTCATTACAGATATCAGAACGTATCCTCTCAAGTTTAACTGGGGTCTATCAGTCCTGCTCATTTGAAATCAAGTAGAAACTCTTAAGGAACATTCAAATAAGGTTAAAGAAACAGAGTAAATTAAGTGCCTAAAAACAAATGTGACACAAATTAGAGTTTGTTTCTGTGACCCTTCTCCATTTACAGAATTTACCCCATTAACAGCTGGAAATTTATTTTCACTTTCTTCACCTCTCTAAGAGGAAAGCAAACATATAACATAGCCCCCTAAGGAGTAATTAATTAGATCATTTACTGACATGGGTTTGGATAGTTTATTTAAATACAAGTCTGTTATTTATTTATTTTACAACACTATGCAGGAGGTCGAAACTCCTGTTCTAATTTGCACTTAGCAAGGATCTCTGGGAAAAAAAAATCACAGTGAAGGAAATAAACAAAGAACCAGTGATCAAAGGGCCACATTCAGAAATGCATAAAAGCATTTCACCAGGATGAATGTTTCAGTGATTTTTAAAAAATAGGGATTGGTTGGGCTGGGTTGGGGTGGAGGAGGATAACAAGACTGTTTTGTATTCCCATAGGCAAATTTTAACAAATATGAGTTCATTGATCAGCTGCTATATACAAGGGAAGGGGAATTGTAAAAATAAAGGATGCCAATGTAGGTAAAAAAGGTACAAAGAATATGCAGATTATCACAACAAAAATGAAGACAGCTTTTGAAGACAGTCAGACACTCGTGAACTCAGAAGCATGTTAAAAATAAATAACTGAGCAACGTCAAAAATAACAGTAAGTTTTTCTCAGAAAAGCAAAAGCTCATGCAAGTATATTTTCACAAGCTGGAAGCGAAAGTTTGAAATTAGCTCCCCAAAGAGGAATATTGAATCTATTCTAAAATGAAGTGGGTATTTTTTTAAAAAGATATGAAATGTTGGAATAGATGTTCATATTCAATTCCTTTGAATAGGTGAGTGGGCTTATAAATGCTTGTGTAAAATCATATAAATGTTTTCATCTAATGGGCTTTTAGGAACATCCCTGACAAGACTGCCCTATACACACCTTTATACCTCCAGCCTGTGGGGCTGTAATACTCCGATCACTAAAAATCTCCCCCTAGTGCTGTTACCCCATAGATAATTTGGGGATTAGAATAGTGAAAGAGCATGAAGATACTGAGATGGCATTTGGAAAAGGGAGTGGATAATAGGTACTCTAAAATTCATGATTTTAAGAGACCTGGGGAGTGAGGAGCAGAAAACATTCCCTCTACCCCTCAGCCCAAAGCCCCCTTTCTCTTCTCTGTCCCAACTTGTGTTCTTCCTCCTTTGTACATGTCCTCTCCTGGCCCCTCCTCAGGATTCCTCATACAACTGCTTGTGACTCACTATCTCCCTCTGTCGGAATGCCAAGGGACTGCTTTTACCTTTCACCTTTTCTCTCCGTTTTTTTTTTTCAACCATTTTGCTTCCCTCAATTTTCTGTTTTTCTTTCTTGCACTAAGTTGGGACTAAGGCATTAGTCTGGTTTTAGTTAACATTTTAAAAACATGACAATTGTATAACTAAATGAAAAACATGTTTATGAATGCACAAATCAATTTTTAACAGTGGTCAAACATTCCTTATTGTTTAAGAAAAAAAAAAA